AACTTTGAAGTTTTATTAGGAAACTTATACAATTTTACAACTCAAATTCTTTTATTTTGAAATGATTAAAGTTTCCCATCATTAAATATAACCTATACAAATCATGAATCGTTTTTATGTTTTTCGTCTTACAGAGAATATGCCAATTTTTTTCTGCATGATCATTTCATTTGTACGAAAAAAACAGTTTATTATATAAATTTGAATCTATGGGAATTTATTTTATGCTTTTATAGAATTTTGAAAAACATAAAAATTTTAGAGATTTTTTTTAATTTATTTTAAATTTCATAAAATTATTCATAAATTTTTCATAAAATTAGTGTTAATTAATTTAATTAATAGAGATGATATTTATTTTATGCATGATTTTTGAATTATTTATTTTGTGCATATTTTATAGTAAATTGAGAAGAAAATATACAATGGCTCTTATTTGTCGGCCTTTGCATCTAACTTTGTAGTGTTGGAGTTGTTCTGTGATTGTCTACACCTAATTTGTTGGGATATTAGCAACTCAATGGGGGAATTAAATGGAGTATTAAATGGTAAAATTATCACTTTCAGAAAAGCAGAGGAATTGTTTTTTTTATACTTCCATCGTATTGAGGTGCAAAAATGCACAAAAAAAAATGGAATCGATTTTTCATTAAAATTGCTCATGCAATTTCAACGTGAAAAAAAAAAAACATCTCAACATATTACAACCAAAAAGAGATAATAATTTATTTGATTCCTACTGATTGGAATAATAAGTATCAATTAAGCGTTTGATCGTCCATTTTGATATCTCCCAAGCCATCGGAGTTACTTTATTTAATCATCACATTTATTATTTTTTAATAAACCGGTTCAATATGCTGTATGAAAATTCAAAAATTTCGATTTTTTAATAAAGAACAATAAATTTCTTAAAATTTGTATATACTTTTTGTTGTATATAATTTGTATATTATGTGACTAAAATCCGACTCCGTTAACTTATGAAAACATATGAAATAATGTCCTTTACATGTTTATAAATAACTTAACACTATATTTATTTAATTCCTTATATATTTATTAGATGAGATATTCTTTTTTTTAAATATATATTAACTAACATCGAGTAGATGCCTTAATTTAAATAATAAGACCTTATATATTTTTGAAACTATATCCATATTTCAATTCTTCTATGTTTTTCTCTTTTTTGAAGAGGTAATATTAGTATTGGTATTAATATTAGAATTAACATTAACATAAGTATTAGTATTAGTATTAGTATTAGTATTAGTATTAGTATTAGTATTAGTATTAGTATTAGTATTAGTATTAGTATTAGTATTAGCATTGATATTGGTTTTTTGTATTGGTATTGGTATTGGTATTGGTATTGGTATTGACGTTGGTATTGGTGTTGGTTTTCGTATTAGTATTAGTATTAGTATTATTATTAGTATTAGTATTAGTATTAATATTGGTATTAATATTAATATTACTATTACTGTTAGTATTAATTAGTATTAGTATTAGTATTAGTATTAGTATTAGTATTAGTATTAATATTAGTATTAGTATTAGTATTAGTATTACTATTACTATTGGTATTGATATTAGTATTGGTATTAATATTGGTATTGGTATTCGTATTGATATTGATATTCGTATTGATATTCGTGTTAGTGTTAGTGTTATAGTTTTAGTATTAATGTTAGTATATTTAGTATTAATGTTAGTATTAATATTAGCATATTAGTATTGTTACTAGCATTAGTATGTAATCTAATAGCAATATCACTTCATATGTTACAACTCTAAATTTTTTTTAAGGGTAAATTATGAAACCCCTGAACTTAGTCTAAATTATGAAAAAACCCTCACCTACCCGTAAATATCACAATCCCCCAACGTTTGTTTTTATCTTAAACCGACCCTCTTATGGTGTTATTTTTCATGGAATTTTTTTGAATACTTGGAATATTTTCCAAAAAATGCTGATTTAATTCCTACAAAAGTGACATTTTTATACTACTTTTTGAAGGCAAATTTTACTCTCGAGATGCCTTTACATGGAATCTTTATTTTTCTTAAATAACACCTTCACAGTTTTATAGTATTACAATGACCTCTCTAAGAGTAATTTTTATCTTAAAAAAGTAACATAAAGAATTGCCACTTTAGTAGGAGTAAGATCAAAATTGTTCGGAAAATATTCCATGGAATAAAGAAAATTCAGAGAAAAATAATACCATAGGGGGGAGGTGTAAGACGAAAACACATGTTAGGGGGATTTTGGTAACTACGGATATGTGGAGGTTTTTTTTTTTTTTTTTGTAGTTTAGCCTAAGTTCAGGGGATTTTTCGTAGTTTACCTTTCTTTTTAATTTCATTTTACGTGGATTCAATTTTACCACTAGCCCATGGAAGCGAAAATGTACGCAATTAATTGTAATTATTGTGTACGTGTTTGTTTATATAAATTAATTTATATAAATAAAATAAAAAATTTGTTTTCCGCTGCGTACATGTGCCCGGTCCCCAACAAAATTAATAGCACTAATAACAATATATATATATATATATATATATATATATATATATATATATATAATTTTTCTATTTTAAAGTTGATCACCGTGCATCGCACGGGTGAATTACTAGTCTATTATAAAATAAAAAAAAAGACACGTGGCAGCAGAAGACCCACCATGTAGGGTCGAACAAATTATTTATGCTTTTGAATTTATATAATAAATTAATTAAAATATTGTTTTAAGTTTTAACACATACATCTTAGGCCGAAAGTGTTTTGGTCGTTCTTTGTTTGGAGTTTGGACTTTGGAGTACTTAATTTAGTTTGTTATTTGATATATTACTTTTTGTATTGATAGTTTAATAAACACTTGTAAAATAAAAATATATGAATGATGGAAGAGATGTATTAATTTGTAGATCTAACTACCTTAATAAGTCCTTAATGAATTCGAATTGTGTATTTAATTTAGATATGTATTATAAAAGGCCCAACGTAAAGGGCCTTTTTGCAATTATAAAAAACCACCTGCTCAAAGTTAAAAGGCCTTTTTTCATCGTACATCGTATTTGTAAGCGTTTCTTCTTCTTCTTCTTCCTCGACGTAATTGAATCAAACAAGGGTTTATTCTTTTTTCGATCAATTCTTATTTTATAATCTGAATTTCTTTGGAATTGCGTCGCAATTTGGTACCGTACGAGAGAAAAGCATCACTACTCCCCCGATTTTCCGCTCTGATCACGAAATTAGGGTTATTATTCCCCCTTTTATTCACTTCTCTCTATATATGCATGTGTTCCTTGTGTCACTCTGTACGTGTTTTGCTTCGAATATTTTTATTTTATTTTATTTGTGATTCTAATTCTGAATACAATTGAATAAAATCTGTAACTGCTTGGTTGCGACTTGGTTGAAGATCACGGAAAAATCTGAGCTTTGTTGTGTTATCTCTAATTTTTTGTGATCCTGGGTAAATTGGATCAATCTGAACATTATATTTGTCGGGTTTGAATTTGCCGCATCTTTATTTTGCTTGATTGAAAATTTAATCTTGATTTTTCGGTCGAAAAATATTCAGGGATGATGGACGCATTGCAAGAGCTTCGGGAAGAATTGTACCTTACTGCAGCAGAAGAGTTTATAAAGGAATACCAAGACTCGTTGGACTCTGTGAGAAGGAATTTGGCAATATATATGGACCCTTGTGCTGCTATGTCAGCCCTAAATAACCCCCCAAAGCCAATCTCAGAAAACTATCACGTGGCCGACAAGAAGGTTGACCAGCTAGGGGTTCTACACGACCGACAGCTGGCGGAGGCGGAGCATATTTTGAACTACGTGCTCGACTTCTACCTGGCGAGGCCTGGTGTTGTCAATGCCGATGAGATTGCTTTTGCACTCGAACGGTTCTTAAACAAGATCCAAAAGGCAACCGATTCTTACACGGTGAAATTGGGGATTAGCCCTTACCAGAACATGAGCCCGTACGGCGATTCTCTGCTTGTGATGATGAACAAGTTTCAACACATGCAGCTTAAAGCAGTAGACTGTGGCTCTGATGGAAAATCAGGGCTAGGCGCAACCGAAACAGTATAGCATTATCTGGTTTAGTTATTGCATTCAATTAATCTTTTGCTTTCTCTGTCTTAATATATCGGAACCTCTTCTTGACCAGATATTAGTCTAGAATTGTGTTTTCTGCTAACGATGCATTCAATGGTTTCATTTATGACTTGAATTGACTTTTTTCGTATATAGTTCAATGATTTGAGTTTATTTTGTCAAATATCTCGTCAGACTTTCAACAAACTTACTAAAAAGTTCGTTCCATGAAAAAACATATGTATACTAGATAAATCGATGAACCTCAATGAGAGAGGGAATGTAGTAACTATCTGCATATTTCCTTGGACTGTCATTTTTTTATTGAAGCTTTGGGCTTTGTATTTCAGGCAGAGACAATTTGGCAATGTTCACTACTGTGATTCTCTCTTTTCGTGTTCTTTTCTATGTAATAAAAAATGTTCGCAGGGATGCTAACTTGAAATATTTTGCAGAAAAACGAAAAGCTTAAAAGAGAAGAAAAGAAGAAACTACTTGGGGTTAAGAGATTAAGTTCGCCGCCAGTTCTCAAGACAAAGAAGATACCGTATTGTTGTTACTATATACAGGGGAGATGCCGAAAGGTGGTTTGAGATCTTATACTATGTTACCTTAAGCTTTACTTTTATGGGATCGAATATTTTAGTTGCTAATCCGTTATTCAGTTATTCACTGTACCGAAAAATGAGAAACACACACACACACACACACACACACACACACACACACACACACACACACACGCACGTACACAGGAGAAAATGCCTCTAAAATTGTCTTATATTTTTCTGTTTTCTGTTTTGTTTTACAGGGTGAGAAGTGCAATTTCTCCCACGATACAGTTCCATTGACAAAGTCGACGGTATGTTTACTAAGTGATACTTATATATTGAAGTAGTCCTTAAGTGATGCTTCACGTTTGATTGAACGCATCTTCCACAATAATCTGATTAGTGGCTAAGATTAAAGTTAAACAATATGTTCGTTTCGTACTTCATTTGTCCTGTTTTTCTGCTTATAAAAGCCAGACTTCGGATGCTGTTTCTCGGTTGTCCAACATTTGTCCCATAATTAATCCATGCAAATGTTTTGCAGCCATGCAAATATCTTGCTCATGGCTTTTGTATGAAAGGGGATGACTGTCCGTTTGACCATGAACTCTCGAAGTACCCATGCGTAAAACATGCTTCAAATTATCCCTGCCCAAGACTCCCCAAATGTTTGTTTTCGCACGAGGTAGTGTTATCTTGTACGAATTCTAACTAATTTTTTTCGGTTTGTTTTACTTTCTATGTTTGTTATTAGTTTACATATTTCATAGGAGCTTGATTAATTAATTGATGTGTTTTCTGTTGTTTTAGATTGTCAAACAGCTCGAGAATGCAACGGAATCTTGACGGTGAAATTGTAATCCCACATGGTGAACCGTATGGCATCACGTTGTTCATTTATTACTTCGATTATATTTTACTTACCAGAGCTTATTGACCAGATATTGACCTAGTATAGAACAACAAGATTCACCTGACACAGAGTTGGATGAAGGTGATTCAGCCATGAGAGGATTCTCTCTTATGATGGTTTTTTTCTTTGGTCTGAATTTTGATGAGAGTGAAAATATACTTATGTATTTATTAAAGTTTACAACCAAACACCACTTGCATTTATTAACTGTATATATTTCATATCAACTTATTGATTTGGATTTCTTGTATGCTACATTGGGTAAATATGATTATGTAATTAATAATTATCATTGATTTATCCACAAACACATGCATATATTCTAATATTCATGCTAGTGTGTGTAAATTAGCGGTATAAATGAGCCCAGCCTAATCATGGGTTCGATGAGGTGGCTCGATAAAAGATCGAGCCCAGGCTCGAGTCCATCTTTAGTTGCGCACGAGCTCACAAACTTATATATGTGTGTGTGTGTGTGTGTATATATATATAATCATAAGGAATTTTGATCGAGGCTGTTGGCAAGAATGTCTTGATTATGAGTCAGTAGTCGGCAGAATGTCTAATTAGTCAACCTGATAAATAAACCTTTGACTATTGACCAATCAGTAACTACTGTACATAAAATTTTACAATTTGCTATTAAAAAAAGAAGAAAAAAAAAGACATGGTTTGCAATAATATTCTCAGTTATTTGACAAAATTACACCATTTGTTGCTTCATATCTACCTTTATTACTTCATTAATGCCAAGATAGTACGAAAAAAAAATCAATTACAGTTAAATCTTTATAAATTAATACAGTCTGGATCAAGAAAATTTTATTAATTTAGCGAATTATTAAATTATCGAGTTAATAATTTAACAAGTTTTTACCGAGTCGGAACTGAAAAAAACTACTATTTAATCGATGTTATTAATTTATCGATGTTCTATTGTATGGCAAAATGACACTTAAAAAGATTCGAAGGGAGTCGTAGAGCACAATTACATTATCGGTAAGTATTTGAACACTCTATTGCTCAATGAAATAGCGACATTTAATCGAGGGGTTCAACGTTTGTAATAGCTAGGTTCGAATAAGAATGTCTATTTAGTCAATAGACTTTAATAACAAGAATGAAACGAAACCATTCGCATGAGTATAGCTCAAACTATTGGGAGTTGTAAGTTGGTGCAAGATCTTAGGATCGAATACTAGCAGGCGTAATGACCCAACGAGCCGTTGGATTTAGATTTCTCCATAAAAAAACCCGTCCGAGAAACCTTAATCTATAGTGATAATATCAAGGAAGGAAGTAAAATGTATGAAAAAAAAAAAAAAAGAAGGAATAAAAGCAGTCAACGTTACAACAGTGGAAGGTCAACTGAATGACTAACAATAACATTGAATTGAAGAGCTGATCTGCTATTACGTGTTTGGCGCGTTTTTGTTGTGTCACGAAAGACGTTAAAACTATTTACTGTCTGCAACTACACAACAAACTGTTGGTTGACCTCCATTAATATCATAATATCTACTACTCATATATTAATATTAATATTAATCCCAAATTCCAAAACATTATTTATTTATTCTTTTTTCCACAGCCAAAAAATAAAAATAATAATAAATACATAAATTCTTGTTCTTGATTCTTCAAGGAAGCAGCGTTGTTCGTCGAAGCTCACTTTCTTTGACCATACTTCCCTCATCTCTCTATTTTCCACAGTCACACACACACACACACACACACACTATATGTACGTGTTTCTGTGTGCCGTTTTTTTCTTGAGGGGTTTAAAGATTTTTAATTATTGCAAAAAGGGGTTTTCCAAAAAAGATTTTCCCAGCCTTTGAATTCATCAAAGCTCGTGTCTTTGAAAGTAGGTAGAGATCTTTGAACCAGACCCACCATTTTTTTTTTCTCCATTCACATTCTTCAAGAAAACACACAGAACTTTCCCCGCTGTCTGAAATTCTCGGTACGAGAAAAGAATTCAAAAGCCAACGCCACCCTTCGCACACGTATGTATCAGTCGTGTTCGTGGGTTCAATAAACCAACATATTCCAATTCCATCAAGCATATATAGTAGGTGTGGAGTTGGTGGTCATATTCACAAACACTTGGTGTGCATAGCAAAAAAGAAACTAAATAAACATATACACATCTGTAGCCTCACAAATTAGCTGCGGCTCTCCCATTTCTGGTGAGTATTTTTTTTCATTTACTTTGTTTATGGATTCAATATTGCAACAATCTTGATTTTTTTTTTTGTGCAGACGGTGGGGACCTAAAAATTAGTTGATGGGATTATCTCTATCACTGCTAATTTCAGCTTGGCAAGAAATTGTGAAAAACACTCTGTTCGATTTAGCTATAGGTTTCCGATTTGGGGGTGGGAATCAAGAAATGACCATGACTAAAGGGATCAACAGCATGAGCAGAAAAAACTCGATTAAGCTAAGGAACTGCGAACCCGTTAAACTCGTTCTCGGAACCTCGCTTTCATTCAAGGACTTGGTTCCAGAAATCAAAAACTCAGATGCAATTGCAAATGATAATATTACTGCTGCTTCTCAATTCCCCGAGCCTGCGATAATGTTTTCGCCACGACCAATTAACGAGCTCGACGAAGCTGCGGTTAAGCTCCAGAAGGTCTACAAGAGCTACCGCACTCGACGGAATCTTGCCGATTGTGCAGTTGTTGTGGAGGAGCTATGGTTTGTTTAGTAATATTGTTTCTTGCTTTCGTTTTTTCTACGATTTTTAGTAAGTTTGAAAATTAATGTGTTTCGTATTTGAACTATGTATAGGTGGAAAGCCTTGGACTTTGCAGCACTGAAACGAAGCTCCGTTTCGTTCTTCAATGTCGAGAAGCCGGAAACCGCCGTTTCACGGTGGGCCAGAGCGCGAACCAGAGCAGCCAAGGTTGGTTTTTTTTAAACACCCTTTTTTTTATTTCTTTTAATGAATTTGTTGTGTCGAATTTTTTTCGATTGGAGCTAATATTTGAATGTCTTGCAGGTTGGAAAAGGGTTGTCGAAGGATGAAAAGGCTCAAAAGCTAGCTCTACAACACTGGCTGGAAGCGGTAAGTCTCTCTCTCTATATTACCGAACTCAGACGAGTTTTTTGATTCGATTGTGTTTTAATTTGTGCTCCGATTATTCAACAGATTGACCCACGCCATCGATATGGGCACAATTTGCATCTATATTACGACATATGGTTCCAAAGTGAAAGCGCACAACCTTTCTTTTACTGGTGAGTTACGCATAATCTCGTAATCTTTAAGTGCATTTCAAGAAACTATTTCTTGATGCAGTTATTAAAAAATTTCTTGTCTGGTATTTCGATGATATTTAGGTTGGATGTCGGAGATGGGAAAGAAGTGAACATCGAGAAGTGCCCGAGGACCAGTTTGCAAAAACAATGCATCAAATATCTCGGACCGGTAAATCTCCGTTCGCTCATTGAATCAAGATTTATTTTTTTATTAAATTTAACGAAGTAATTAATAAGCTCATATGTTTATCTATTCAACAGAAAGAGAGAGAATCTTTCGAAATCGAGGTTGAAAATGGGAAGCTCGTGTACAAAGAAAGCGGTATCTTAGTAGATACAGTCGAGGGGTCGAAATGGATATTTGTTCTTAGCACAACTCGAACTTTATACGTAGGGCAGAAGAAAAAAGGGCTATTCCAACATTCGAGTTTCTTATCTGGTGGGGCCATCACAGCAGCTGGGAGATTAGTAGCTCACGAGGGCGTTCTCGAGGTAATTAAATTATATAATTTATTCAAAGATTAGTGTTCGATAAACCCGATTATTTTTTCTAACGACGTGTTCTCGAATATCTACAGGCGATTTGGCCTTACAGCGGTCACTATCTTCCCACACAAGAGAATTTCAGAGAATTCCTTAGCTTCCTTGAGGAGCATTGCGTCGATCTTTCGAATGTAAAGGTAATTATAATTCTTCAAATACCTTACATTTAATATGGGTGGAAATAGGAACACAAATTCAGAATTCCGCCGATTCCGATCCAAAAATTTCCGGTTTTTGAACAATATTTTTGCATTCAAATTCCAGAAGTTCGGATTTACAGTCCGATTTTAATTTCTAAAAAATCGACTTCTTTTTTTTTTCAAAAAATTACACTTATAATATTAATATTATTAACTACTTTGTTATTATTAGTGACGGAGAAATTAGAATGTTCCGAAAACTTCTGATTTTGGAACAAGTATTTTCATTCCGATTTCCAAAATCTCGATTTTCAATTCATCCGATTTTTTTGGAACAAAATTGAAATTAACTTTCCACTTCCGAAAACATGGAATTTTCCCCAAAATACCAATTCCGATCCGATCCATCCATTTCCACCCCTTTCAGCATATATATACGCCTATTTTTTATCTGATGAAAACTCGTTTTTTTCTCATTTTGTTCAGAAATATGCGACTGATGATGACTGTGCTCCCGTTAGTAGTAACAACGATGCCTCCGAGGAATCAGTTCCAAGACTTGAATCAAACAAAAGTACTATCGAACAATCCGAAGATACTAATAATAAGGATGTTTTATCGTCGGATCAAGAAATAACAAAATGCGAGCACAAAGAGTACAATTTGGCTAAACGAATGTCGTGCAAATGGAGCACAGGAGCTGGGCCGAGAATCGGGTGCGTGAGGGAATATCCCGCGGAGTTACAATTCCGAGCGCTCGAACAAGTCAACCTCTCCCCCCGTTTGGTCAACGGCCCATTCAGCAATTACGGCCCGATCCCATCGCCCCGGCCCAGCCCTAAGATCCGTTTGTCTCCTAGGGTTGCGTATATCGGATTGCCGAGCCCGAGGACCCCTATTTCAGCGACTAGCTGAGGCGAAAACGAAAGTAAAAAACGGGGTACGACGAATAAATAAAGCAGAGGATATATATATATATATATATAGTTAGATTGACCTCTTTGCATGAGCAACTAAGTAAGTTAACTCAAATGTTTATTTATTTTATTTAATTTAGTTTTGTAAATGGCTCATTTGCATGCCAAATTGGAATTAGGTTAATCTTTTGTGTGTGGAAGCTGTGAATTAGACAATTGCGATTCTTTAATTTGTCATATAATAATTTCAATTAATTAATTGTATTTGTGACTAATGTTTATTGACTTTTTGGAGGGAATTTTTTTTAACTGACTTAGCAAATACAGAATTTTCAATTTTATGCTTTTCATGACTTATATGTGGTCGCATCAAAATGAGTAAAATGAAACAGCGACTCTCCTTTTTGAAAGGTGCTTTGACTTATTTTCTTAATTTTATTTTTTAGACATATATTTTATTTTCTAATCGAGTCAAGTTCCGTATCTTATCGAACAAAAATATATGTCAGACCGGTTCGTTATTGAGCTCAAACGTTGAGCTTTTAAATTTTAATGATCGATCGCTTGCATTTTGAGTTTGGAGTAGTCTTAAAAATAATCGAGGCACCGATAAGTTAAAATAAGTGATTAGAGAATAAAGATAAACTTCGTTAGGAACCGAACGAGGCATGAATGTATCCGGTAAAATTCATCTGCCAGAGAAACACAAGTTACATCATCACATCACAATCCAAGAGTCGATATAAGAGTGCTGATCTAGTGACGAGTTGAACCAATCCTAAAAGTTCAATGGATGACACGGACGAATTAAAATATGAGTTTCGTGCCAAGGAGGCGAAGTAAAAAGGCAGACAAGTTTTTTAATCGAAAACTTAAATCAATCAAAATCTTGAATCTAGTGGCAAGATTATGGCGAATTTAATAAACCATTTCGGATCAAAAGATTTCCGAAAATGTACTACGAGCTAATTAATTCTTGTTTAAAATTCAATCGGCAATTACTCTATTCGGTTTCTGTTATCAAACGAGTTCTCCGTTCGCCTAAGAAGCATCAAAAGCACGACCAGCAATTATCGAAGGTACGGGTTTTAGTAGACGAAACTAAGGATCGATCCGTCGTTTTTTCCAACAAGATTTTTCATATAAAACCACCACCGAATTACACCCGATATTCAAGATCATCATACAACACAAGATTCACATCACTATTAAAAGGAATATTCTTCAAGAACAAAAACCCAATAATCAAGAACATAAGCAAAGTAGAATCCATATAAATATATGTATATATATATATATATATAAATATAAATGTGATGAATCATCAATCACCTATGTCCATAAACCATCAAAGTGTACCTCTCTTTGAGCCACCTGAAACTTTTCTTGATCGAGCCCTTCATTTTTCCTTCAACTGTGTAAGCTTTGTAGCTAGCTACCCTCTTCTTCCTCAGCAGCTCTGGATCACTAAAGCTCCAATTTTTAGAACCCACCCCATTTGTCGACTTCCCTTTCTTGAACTTCCACTGATCTCCGCCGCCGCCGTCCGCCACCACTATATCCATCTGCCCATTGTTTTGGGCGGCGGCGGCGGCGGAAGAAGAAGATGAAGCGTACGAGGCGCTGTAGCACCTCAGATCTTGCATCCCACTCGGATTTGGATTGGCTGCGTAGTGGGGCGGCGGCGCCGCCTCGTAATCACTGAAACGGGTGCTGTAATAGTTGGAAGTATTCTCCGCCGGCGTTGATCTTCCGTTGCTGTACGATTTGGATCTGAAATTGTCCATCGATTTGATCTGCGCAGTGTGAAAAGGGTTTGGATTTTCCGGCGGTGGATGGTTGAATTAAAGAAGAGAGGGGGCAGTGTATAAATTGTTTGCAAGCGTCGGTGGTGCTTTGATATTTACAATTGGCCCCTACTGTTAAAATTCTTTCTTGTTTCTATAGTGGACTTTCTTTTCAATAGCCTACTATTTTCCATCAAAAATAAAATACAGTAAGTTACGGCGATCCCTGATGTAAGATTAAATTACAAAAAATAATTAATGTTTGAGTATTGCAATCACCTATCAACTATGAATTTTCTTATGTGTTTATTTTTTCGGTGTTAAATTTAGTGGAATCTTTTAGATGATGTGGAATATTCTCCAGGTTTGTACTCGTTTTACAACATTCGAGCTCCACATTTTGAGACAAGATGATCATAAGCTGTGTCTTTTGCCTTGTAAACAATCAAATTGTTTCTTTTTTGAGTAAAAATAATCAGATTGTGGTGCATCATAAACTGTATTTTTGCACCAAACAAGTACAAATCAGAGAACATTCCACGAAATTAAGAAAATTATGTTGAATTTGACAACGTAAAGGTAGTCGTGCAAGAAGATTTACAATTGAGGAGGTGGTTGTAATTACCGAACAAAATAGGGCATTTTCATAATTTAATTTTAGCTCAGGGGTGGCCGTAATTTACCCTTAGTTTTATCAATTTTCTTTTTTGAGTTGATCTGAGCGTGAAGCCCAATAGCTTGATACAGTTCCAATTAAGTCCGGCTTAGCCAGCTGTGAGACGGGCCGAATTTGAACCAATATATTAAGCCCGAAAAATTTATGGGCCGACGTTGAACTTACTAAACTCGATTAAATAAATATTTGATAATTTATTAAATTATTACTTACTATTTGACATATTTTATAAATATGCATTTTATACAACTATATTAGTTGATAAGAACACTTTATTATTGATTTAAATTTTGAACTTCACACTCATTAATTAATGTTTTGAGTAATATGTGGAATAATTGTTTATTTCAAATAATTTTGAACTTTAAGTAGTTAATTTAAAAGTTGATGAGTTTGTATTATATATTTGTAATTGTTAAACTTATTTTGATAAAATATTTCAAATTTCCAAGAATTGAAAACTAAATAAAATAAAATCGTATATTTATTTTCAAAATTAGGCTTAGTGATAACTAATTCCGAATTTAACCTTTCAAAGTGCAGTAAAATAAATAAAATAATATCTGCTGCCCTAATTTTTTTCCCCTTTTTTAAAAATTAAACCCAAACAAACGCATCTTCATTCTCCAATAATTCCCAAATTCAGATTCTTCCGCGCCCTAATTGATGTGAAGTGCCTGTTTAATTTTCAGTTCCCTACTCTATTCACCATCGCCACCGTCTCTCTCACCTCCAACCTTTTTTCTATGGTCGCACGGTGTCGAATCCCGTTAACAAACAGTTGCGTAATTAGGGTGGGATTTCAGAAACAGCATCGTTTTGCAGTTCAAGAATCGCGCAGCAGGCGAAGTTAAATTGTTTGTTTGAGGGCGGAATTCAATAATAGAAACGTTTTTCCCAGTTCAAGGATCGCGTTAGCAGGTAAACTTGGGGTTTATTGGGTGGGGTGGGGTTGTAAATTAGGAAGATTGGACGCCTACTTTTATTGGAATTGCATTACGCAAAACAAATAAACTGCATCTATTTTTCCCCATGATTATGATGTTTTTTTTTTCTTCTATGTAAATTGCTTTTAAAGAATGAACAAGCATGTCTTTTTGTTACTTCAGTTTTTATGCGTTTGGGATTATCATGTTAACATATTTCAATATTTGATGAAGAAGTATGGAATTTACTGTATTGGTAGTGAGAATTTATGTAGGCTGGTTGGTCAAATGTTCTCAAATTTTATGATCCTCCTATGTGATATTGTTGTGGGAAATAAGTATAGTTTTAAAAAAGAATAGATATTGATTCTGTATGGTCAGTTCAAATTTTGAGGTTTAACTCGTTACCCTCTCTTACATTTGTGGCAGTTATACCAGGACTCTTGCAATTGGTGAAGAAGGAAAACATGATTTATACAGCAATCGACACGTTTTATCTGACAGATGAACAGCTGAAGAACTCACCGTCAAGTAAAGATGGGATTGATGAAGCCACTGAAACTACACTTAGAATCTATGGGTGTGACCTCATACAAGAATGTGGCATACTGCTTAAACTGTATCCTTTTACCAACTGGTCTTATGTTTACTTACTCATCGGTAGTTTGTTGCCTCGAATATTTACTTTATTACTTCTATTATATGTGGTAAATAATTATTTGCTACTTTCTAATGTGCAATTCACTTTTACTTTGCATTTGATTTATTTTTTCCTTATCTACACTGTGCTCAGACCTCAAGCTGTTATGGCAACTGGTCAGGTCTTATTTCATCGTTTCTACTGCAAAAAATCATTTGTCCGGTTTAATGTAAAGGTGTGTTTTGCTGTTAATTTCAATTTTACCCCTTTATTGCGTTTTTACAGCTGCATTTGATAATTTCGTTTAGATTTTACTACCTGGGGATTCATTACCATTTTTTCGTTTGCTTGCAGAGGGTTGCTGCCAGTTGTGTTTGGCTTGCTTCAAAACTTGAAGAAAGTCCTAGGAAAGCAAGACAGGTTCTGATTGTTTTTCACAGGATGGAATGTAGGAGAGAGAATCTGCCCATTGAACATTTGGATACATTTTCCAAGGTTAGCTATGGATTTTGCTATTTTGTTCTAACATGCTCGGCATCATATTTTTAATGAGCTCGAACTATTTTTCAATCATCTGTGAATAAGAATCCATTACGCTCAACTTACTAGTTACATTGTTCTAGGTTGTTTTTGTCCGTTTAAACTCTAAGCATGAACAAGTTTGGGGTGGTGAACTGAACTCTTGTATTTTCTTCTTTAACAGAAATATGTGGATCTAAAGGGAGATTTGATTAGAACAGAAAGACATCTATTAAAAGAGATGGGTTTCATCTGCCATGTTGAGCATCCTCATAAATTTATATCAAATTACCTTGCAACACTGGAAACTCCCCCAGAACTTAGACAAGAAGCATGGAATCTTGCAAATGACAGGTACAATTTATGGGCCTAGTTTTTTGTCTGATAAAACTAGTAGTTGATTATAATCTTTATCAATAGTCTGAAACTGCAATTCATATTTGTACATTAGGATATATCCACGAGTACATACTGATGAGAATTCTTGTTCAACCATTTTTTTACCTTGACAAATTAATATTTTCCATTTAATTGATTTTAGTCTGGACGCACATGATCCTTGTATTTCTTATCCCCAAGTTTTCTAGTCCTTCTATCCTCATCCAGTGATCTTTTTTTTTTGTTGCTTACGAACAGTTTACGCACAACCTTGTGTGTGAGATTTAGAAGTGAGGTTGTGGCTTGTGGCGTCGTGTATGCTGCAGCACGTCGATTTCAAGTACCACTACCTGAAAACCCTCCTTGGTGGAAAGCATTTGATGCAGACAAATCTGGAATTGATGAAGTTTGTAGAGTTTTGGCTCATTTATACAGCCTTCCAAAGGCCCAGTATGTACCTGTATGCAAGGAAGGGGGTTCTTTTGCTACGCCTAATCGAGCCTGGGATTCACCACATCAGTCAGTTTCAAAGGTGAATGCCACATTCTTTGAGTACATTGGTTTTTGGTTTCATAGAGCTATTAGTTTTCTTTACAAAGGAAATTGCAATGATATCCTTGTTAATTTTGTTGTTTCTTGTTCAGGATGGTTTGTTGACAGGACCAATCGCTAATGAAGATGCTAGTGCTGGAAAGGTGTCTTCCGCTGCTGCTATAAACCAGGAAGTTGGAAAGGATGAACTGATTAAAGATGCTCCTGACAAATTGAAGGAGTCGAAGAAAACCGATGATGGATCATTAAGCACGATTAATGGTGGAGAGTCGAGAGAAGAACCTGAGTCAAAATTAGTGTCGGATAATAGAACAGACACTAGTGGAGAAAGGGTCCTTGAGAGAGAGAGAGGCAGAGAAAGGGAAAGAGATAAAACTAAGAGCAGAGACTATGAAAGAGGGCGGGAATCTGATCGGGAAAGAGGAAGGGGAGACACTGAAAGGGACAGGGACAATGTCAAGGAAAGGGGTCATCGTTCGAGGGACAAAGGAAAAGATTCTGGTGAGTACATTTGATTCTTGCATTATTACATGCTCTTCTAATCTTAGCTTAATTTCCTAAACTGACACCTTATTATGTAGGACACATGGAGAAACCTAGACATCATTCATCTCGAGGTATACCTCTTATTAATCACTGTAAACCGTAGGAATAATGTAGGTCAAATGTCTAATTTGTCATCTTTAGCTTATGAAATTATTTTATGAAGCAGATCGTGACTACCGCAGCTCTTCTTATTCATCGAGAGATAAAGACCGCAGGAAACATCATTCGTATGCTTGAACTGAGGCCTTCGTTCGTTTTCGGCTATTCTGCTCCATGATGGTGAGTTGTGTATTACTTGCTTCCATTAAAAAAACGAGTCGTAATCTTGCGTAAAGAAAAGTCTTTAAAATCTTGAAGCCGATATAAAACCTGATATCAGTTTCATGCCTGGGACTTGATTTTGGTTGCCTATGATTCACTGACTCATTATAATTTTTCGTTTCTCGATGTTGCTATATTGCAGGTATCATAATACTTGTGGGCACATACATATACAAGGAGTTGAAATGTGATGCGCATCCATTGAGCGAATGTGGATATGCGGGAGGGAGATTCATTTTTGTTGGCTGTATGTATGACTGAAAATACATAAAAAGTTCAGTGACTGTATTATTATTATTATTATTATTATTATTATTATTATTACACATACTAAATGTTCTTTTTAGTAGTAGTAATCTGAATATTGCAGGTATCGTTTTTGTTGAATGTGAATCAGCAGTGTCCTAAAACTAGGGGCCATCAAGAGATCTATGCAATCTGAAACCTTTTTTATTTTTTATTTTTTTTTTATTTATTAATTGATGTTTGATTTCATGTTCTAAATATTTTTTTTAACAGAAGATCAGTTACTACGATTTATATGTATTGTTGTGATTAGAGATAAGAATATGAATTAGTAAACAATAAGGCACATGCCTAGAAGGTACGATAATAACATAATACTTGCGGTTTGACCCGGCAAGTTATTGGGGGTACTAAACATCAAACAAAGTCTAATTATTTAACTAACCATTGCCAATCATCCCAACCAAACGAGGCATTAGAGTTTGCCACAAATATATGTAAATTAATTTGGTCCCAAACTAGACAGTGGGATAATAGGCAAGGGTAAACCGAATTCATCCAATCCTCTCCCCACCAGGCACCAACACACACACACACACACACACACCAACCAAATAGAAGTGCATATTTAAGCTGCAAAACGAATAGCAGCTGCAATATAAATTCATGTAGCTTAAAAAAGGTTCATCTGTCCACTACAAGGTGGTTACTACTCGACAGTCAATCAAACGTCATTCCTAGTAAAACACCGTTGAGATTTCTCGAGCTTATTTGTAAGCCATCAACTTCTTGATTTTTCCAATAAATATACAGATTACCAAAAAAACATATGGTGGAAAAAGCTCCCCAAAACACTCTCGGATGTGTGTCCATGCTTTTAACCCAATAAGTTGCGTAAGCAAAGCAAAAAAACGTCACCAGCTAATCAGCCAAATATCACCATGGCTAACTACAAATCTCTAACAGCAACATAGGATTAAAGTGTTTTTTTTCTGGACTACAAAAGATAGAATCAATTCGCATTTTTTCTTAAATAGGATTAAGTCCTCTAGGAGATCTACGGAGTCTAGACATCTCACCTTGAACTCGTTTGAAGCCCGCAAACTTCTTTGGAGTACTCGTTTCCTCAGATGCCATAGATTTACCCTTTTCCTTAGCCGATTTAAGCGGAGAAGAACAGACTCCAATTTTCCCATTTATGTTTGCCATCTTTGCTTTGCTAGGGTAATACAAGTAATCAGGGTTCAAAGGTAGAGAAGCAGGATCCAGTTCGAACGAACCCACCGGCACATCTTCTCTCTCATCGCCACTCATTTTGGTAGACGGCACACAATGCGAGAACTTGTACAGTTCATTCGCCCCTACCCAAAACAAATCAGCCTCTCTTTCACTTGCTCTCTGAAAAAGGCTCACGAATCCAGCAATTCTGTCCAAATAACCAACTTTTAGTCCAGCACCTTCAACGAAATCTGAGACAACCTCGACAATTTCATATTTAAACTCGTCTCTGTGATTCTCAGGGTTCAAACTCCAGCTCGTATCCCAGTTCTTGAAAAGAGCCCAAACTTCGCCTTGCTTTGGGTATATGACTAAAGAACCTCTCTTCTTTCCTTTCTCGATATGTACTTGATGAGAGAACGATAGACGTACCGATGTTTTATCAGTATCGCCGAGCTTAAAACCGCCACAGCCAACCGGCAACTCCTCGTCTACCCATTTTTGAAAAGTTTTATCAATGGGAACAGCTTCTAACCAGGTGATGGTCAATTGGAATGGAGAAGAACGGACCTTCTTCACCTTTGCATAGAATCTTGGCATGCCATCTACTGTGTCGTAACAAGCCCAGAATTGATTAACCTGAAAACGGTTTTCATCTCGCGCCTTCTCAAAGTTGCTAAATTCTGGATCGGGGCATTCTATCTCAATAGCTGCTTTATCGATACGGGAGATATCTTCGTCGGAATCACTATCAATGTGAACTGTATCAACACCAGTGCTCGGCTTGTCGCCAGTTTCTCCTCTCGCCTTACCTTCTTTATTACAGTCAGCATTCTTGTCACGAAAGCTTTCTTTGGGCTGAAAAGTTCCCATTTCTTCAGGTTTCGACTTCGAACAATATGCATTACTAGCGAAACTACTTTGATTGTCATGCTTTGAATCTTCACTAACCACAGTAGCCTTTGGCTCCTTCACACCCGATTCCTTATCTGTGACATGCTGCTTTTTCCGTGGTGATCTCCGTGCAAAACTCTCTTTCACGTTCAGATCTTCCTCATCAAAGTGATTTGTCTCCCTAGATTCATTCAATACCTTCCTATCCCTCTTCCTGCCTTTGTTTCCCACCTGTCCTGCTTCTTTAGAAATTGCATCACCATTCGATGTTTCAACTCCCTTTCCACCATTCATTGAACTGCCATTATGAGTATCTGTTCCTTTGCTTTTCAAATTCCTAGCTATCATGGCAGCATGTGCCTTATCACTTCCTGTCCGGGCACTTGGTTCTGGTCGAACAGTTTTTGCGCCGGCAAGTCCTTGTGATCCAGCATGTTGTGCTGAAGGTCCTTCATCATTTCGAACACCCGTTTTGCAGTTCCCCTGATTTGGGACGGCCGTTTCTTGGAAAGCAGCACCTCGACTCGGGACAGGTTTAGGAGGCACGCGTTGAGCACCTGGTTGGCTTGACTTGGACCCCACACCTCGAGGTCTTACTTCATACCCCACAAATGCCTTTTCGCATGACGGGCAGCGCAAAGATCTGTTAATAAATTGTCTTAAGTACTGGTATTCGACATGACAAAACGGGCAGCATGTCCAGAACACTTCTTGACTGGTAGAGGAGGTTGACTGAGTTGATTGATGTTGATTCGGATTGGTAAAGCCATTAGGAACTTTGGTTTGGGCACCATTTTGATTGCTAACATTAGAACTTCTGTTAATGTGGTGAACTGTTGAATTTGCTGGACCAGATCTACTCAAAACCCTGACCTTAGCGTCGTATAAAGATTTTTTTGCGGGGTCCGACAGAACTGCGTTGGCTTCGCAAATCAACTTGAAAGCACTCTCTGCACCAGGAAATCGGTTCTTGTCAGGATGGAGAGTTAGTGCTAGCCGACGATATTGTTTCTTGATCATTGACTCGTCAGCCAACTTTTCAACTTGAAGGATCCCATACCAGTCCTTTTCAGATCCCAAAAGCCCTTTTTCTGATGAACAGTGAACTGTGCAGATGCTTAACAGCTGAGCAATATTGTCCAGTTCTGGGTAGAGAGCCTGCGCTTTCATAGCAATCTTTTGAGCACCTTTGAAATCATTATTTTCCATTTTCTTCTCCGCGAGTTCTTTGGCCCGGATAGCCTCGTCTTTGTTGCATTCCATTGCTAATATACCAGTACGGAAGTTGACAAAGAATTTGTGAATCCTCCTCTTCTGCAGTCACATTATCCCACAAAAGTTATCCACAAGTCTACGTTTAGTCAATTACAAGCAAGCCAAAAAAAAAAGGTACAGGCTGCATTCCTATGCTATTATAAAGAGAAACAAACATTGCAAGTTTAAAAGGATGATTTAACATACCGCGTTATCGCTAAGAATATGATTCTTGACTGGATTGGCCAAGCAGCACAGAGCTCTTGGCCTTCAAAAGAAAAACTTTTTTGCACCTCAAAACCAAAAGTATGATAGTAGAACCATCAATAACCAAAGATTCAACCGCGCTCCATAAACCTGACAAAGAAAATGTAAAATTCATCAAAAGTTAAAAACTTAAAAACTTTATAAATCAGCGCATTCAAAAAATCTCAATCTTGTAGTTCAGTGACCGGACACGTGTCGACGAAAATGAATAATAAAAAGAAACCTTAAACGAATAAAGTAGTTTTAGTCGTCTGTTCAAATGTAAGACTTCCGGTTCTCCATCAAACACTTGTCCAATTAAAGCTTATCCCGTTCATATTATATCTCCCAACAAAAGTATATATATTCTACGCAGGATGATACGGGAACGCAAACACAATGATATGCCGCACTGTGCGGAAAGCGACATGAATCAAACAGGAAAATAAAGATTTTTCACTCAGAGAAATGCTAATGGAAGTAAAATAGAGAAAGATATATATGTATATGTAAGCAAACAACAAACGTGTTTCTGACCAAGAAGGTAACAACATTACTGAAATTCCATAAAACACAGGCACAAAAATATCAATAATCAGCATATAAAGCATATGAATCATGACATTATTAAACTTAAAGACTATTCTAAAAATAGCAGTAATAAATGAATAATAATCAAGTTTCCGTTACATTCCTCTAAATCCCCAAAGACTAAGGGCAAAGCTTTAGACCTAAAATATGGGGGTAAACAGCATACAAATGACAAAAGTGGAGTGGAATTACCAAAATATAAAATTGCAAATCAAAGGAGAAAACCCTAAAAACAACCAACACTAAAAAACCCACAAGCACAAACCCGATAAACCAGTACAAACAGAAAAAGGCAAAATCGAGAATTTTCGAACTTAAAAACCACGCGCACAAATGTGAAATGCAGACTTAGATCAAACAAAAAAAAAGACACATGCAGAGATGGATACGCACCTTGCGTCGGTCCACAGAAAAGAGAAGCAGCGGCGAGAAAATGTACGCCAAAAATTGAGAGTGAAAAGCTTTTTTTTTTTTTTTTTTTTTGCTGAAAGTTTAATCAATGGAGATTTGGTACAAAAAGAGGGGGGAAGATAAAAGGGAGGGAAAGGAAAGAGTGAATGTTTTTGGGGGGGAGCAGTGGAGAAGAAAGGGTGGGCAGATTTCAGACCCTCAATTCCTCTGTAATTCCATTTGCCCCTCTGAAGTTTTTCAACTTGCAATGGTGAACAAAAAAAAAAGGGTTTTTGGTGATTTAAAAGTGGGCCAAGTTTGATTTTGGATCAATTTGATTGGGTAGGCCCAATGGGCCTTGGATTGTTATAGTTATGAATTATGGTGATTACTCGTGGTAACTGACGCGGGAACCAAATTCAACTCACTCTAGTTAGATTGAGGCTATCAGAAACGGTCGCACGTCTGAGTTATTCGATTTTGAATTCCCTAATCTTCAATAGGATATGTAAAAGCTTGTCGCTTTCATTACATTGTGTTGACGCCAAATTTCGAGCATATGAATTTGAAGAAAACCGAGCATTTTTTTATAAAGATTGACATCAATTTTATTCCATATTTTTTTTAGTTAGGAAATCTTTTAGATCACAAGGGTGTTTGGCTAAGCTTATTTTAAACAGCTGATAAGCTCTCACGTCTTATAAGATATTTTAAGAGCTCATAAGTTGTTACATCTTATTTTTAAGATTAATTTTTAGAGTGTTCGGATAATAAGCTTCTTTCCTATTTTTACTCATTCTAAGATCTTAAATAAAAATGTGGGGTAGAGATACTTATTTAAAAAGATCTTATTTGCTCTCCAACAGCTTATTTTTTTTTAAATTAAGATCTTTTTAAAAAAAAAATTACCAAACACTTTGGAAGAGCTTATAAGCTCTAAAACATCTTATAAACTCCTTTTAACATTTTATAAGCTTAGCCAAACACCTTCCATATCTTGTAGAGATTTTATTGTATATGACTTTATTTATTTTCTTATATTTGTTCTAGATAATGAAATATTGTAAAAAAATTATGATTATCTAAATTTAGATTGTATAGATGATGAAAGATTTTATTTCTTTGTGATTGATTCTTTAGGTTTAGGTTAGGTTTACTGAGCATATTTTTCGTGTATATATAAGCCCTATGATTCATCCAAAAAACTTAGGCTATGTTTGGTAACGTTTTCAAATTATTTTAACACTTTCCCCAAAATAAAAATTATTTTTCTACACTATTTTCAAAAACTTTCCCCAAAACAAATTCAAATATTTCTCTCTCTTACAAACATGATTTGACCGCTACAGTGAAAATTGTCTTCACTAAAATACAAAATCAAATCACTTTAACTTTTAAATTCTTCTTCCAAAATACATTTTCCCAACACCTTTCAGACATGATTTGACTTGCTACAGTACAAATTATCTCATCTCAAAATATAAACAAACTTTATTTAATTTTCAAATTCTTCTCCCAAAACATTTTTCTCCAAAATAAAATGGAAATAGAAGCCCAAAAGCTTACCAAACATAGCCTTAGAGTTTTTATTGAAAAATGTATCTCATATCGAAGGTTTTGCAGGGTGTAATCTCTACAACAGTCATGGAATGACGTTGTCGGAACATTGGAGGGAGTTCTGTGTGCGGATGGAAGAACTGTTACGATTAAGACAAAGAGTTCGACTTGTGCTCAAGAACGACGAATATATGGAGTCTCTAGTATTTTTAATAAGTATTATTATTGTGCACTTAAATTTAAACTAGTAATCTCTTGTTTCCAATCCTCGTGAATATAAGGAACATTTATATCCTAACCACTTTATATCGTGTGTCATTTAACTTATGGTCATTCATTGTCGGGTTTATAGTACAAATTTGGTGAACATACACCCTTCTCTAAGTCAACCCGAAAACTTATATGCAACGACCCGTTTTATTCTCCACAAATTCTTTAGTCGGACGATCTCTATAGCTACTTACTTGAAATGGTTCGTCGGCTATCAACAGTTAAATGAAATTTCAAATTCCGACAACCTTACCAATTAAATGCATTTATTTTCAAAACCCACACCGGCACACTTCATGCCCTAAAAAATTGTAAGGAATACGAATCGCGAGTTGCACCTTGATAGTGAAACCGTAGAAGTTTGTTAACTGATAAAAAATATAAGGAATTAGATTTCAAATATTTGTGCTTGATTCACATAATTATTCCATTCCTAAACTCATTTCTTTCTTGAGTTCATCCGCCATAATTTCTTTAAGTATGAAGGTTAATGGTTTTATCTTTTTGGTCTTTTTTGGACTTTTTTAATTTTGAGTTGGTTAAATTGTGCAACTAAATAAATATTGGGGAGCAAATAGAAATATCAAAAGATGTGGTACAAAAGAGATACGGGGTACTATATTTTGAATTAAAGCAGCAATTATATAATATTTATAGGTCTGTTCTGATGTGACAAGGTAGAAAGGATAGGGTGGACTTGGTACATATTTGGACTTTTTTAAGGGCATAATTGTCATACACTGCTCAGGTATTAAACTTTCAAAAAAAATACTATTTTTATTTTTTATGATATACCGAGTCAAATCGCTGTTCAATAATTCAAATATTTTAAATAGCAGATTTAAGGAATATTTTACGAGTTTTACATTGAAGAGTGATTAGAGTATTTTTCTTTTTTAAAACATGCAATTTTCATTAAAAAATGGTGATTCCAGTTTACTCAAAGTACGACGGTCGACCAAGGGAATGAATGATATTACAGACTTATACGGAAAGAAAATGCAGATTTACAAGTGTCATATAGCGGCTAGCGTAAATGTACAAATTCAAATGTCAAATGTGCAATAAAACTCGACCCAAAATTGCATGCCCCTAACCCCCTTTACATGAAATCATAAGCAGTGCATTTTCTTCGGCACCCCCGGGTTTTTTTTTTTTTTTTTCCCCTTTTTTTTGGGGAGGGGTATTGGTATTCTGAGGATTTATTCTCCGGGGATGAAGATCTTCTTACCTTGCACTAGCTTTTCGATTCATCAAGTCATGATAGTATAGCAGCAAACACATAGGTTGACCGACGATGCAGAAAAAACACCAGAACATCATATTGCCCACCTGGCAGAAAATTAAAGAACACGAGGTTATTCTTTTTGCTTAAAAGGGACTACAAAATTGATCATTTGAACTTTCAAAGAGCATTTTACGAGAAACGGAACAAGTAAATCGGGAGCAGCAAATTGCTACTAGATTTTTCCTTGTAATAATGCTAATGAATCATCTTTCCAACTAAGTTTAGTAAATTAACCACTTAAACAAAGAGAAGCACGTGGGAGAAAGTAAATGGGGGCAGGAAGAACTTCAAATCGTCCCTTTGCATGCGATCAATTTTACACCATAAATCATTTTCTGTATACATTTTTTTGACTTCCTAGTCCAAGATGAGAAAATCGAGGCGATAAAAGAAGCAAGAAACAGAAAAGCAAATAAAAACACGCACACCAATTTAATTAACTTCAAATGAAGAAATTAATCAACTAAATAAATGTGAAGCAAATAGAAAGCTTACCATCGAGTTTTGGAATTTGTTTTGCAAGTAATTAGTCACAATTACAAGAGGGACCTGTTCAGAGACAAATTCAAGGACCGGTTAGAAGCCATTTTTGACACTTTTAATGGTCGATGAAATATACATCAATTTAGAAAGGTCAATCCTTCTTCATGCCAGTGTTATGGTCACTGTAATTCAAAATTGATTACAGAGACAAAAATGTTTAGAGAAGAGGTAAAAGTAGATATTTTCTTGAACCTTACTTTTCTTACCCAAAAAAGTTAAAACTTTTAATGGTCACTATTAAACACTGACTAAGAAACTCTGATGGTCTAAAGGATCAGTAAGGCCTGCATGTTTGACATTTACTCCATAACTGCACAGAGTTCATTTACGAATGTACAGCATCGTGCATTATGGGACTTAGTATTGAATAAAAGTTCAAGATTATTTGCATATTCATGGGATAAAGTATGTTGATTTAATCATCCATGTAGAGGTAAACATTTTAGTTCAGAATAAACAGTGAAACTGTGAAATGTAGATCTTTCTGTTTTTATAGGCCAAGGAGTGTGATATTGCCAAATCACGTTGTTGTTTAAATACTTATTTATCTCATCAGTTTCTTCACCACAATCAAGTTTCAACATTATCGGAAATGAGGTTCTACAATGGAAACTGAATATCATTAGTGGACATACTAAAGGGAAACAGAATATGTAAATGCCCTAAAAACATGGATATCATTACAGCATAATTGGAAACTAGATTGTGCAGTGACTGAAATTGTCGTACCTGAAACATGATACCAATGAACGCCCAAAGCTTGAATATGTGACAAGGGACGGCAATACACAGCTATTAAACAAACAGAACTCGGATTATATATTGAAAAGCTAGGCTCAAGAGAAAAGGCAGTTCTTGAGTTTCATTAATCTCTGTGACAATAGCAGAGAGATAGAAAAGGATAAGGTGGCATCGTACCTCGTGGAAAATAGCAGACACAAGGAATGCAACCAAAACTGCAATTCCCTGCATCAGAAACCAATGGGCAATCAGTAACCAAAAAAATTGCAAGAGGAGACAAACAATCTGTAAACTGCCTACAAATGCAACTAATCAATTGATTGCACTTTGAAAGTGCAAACAAGCAATATTTACAAGCAATATATAGTGAGGGATGTGATAAGCACTGCCTCACCCTATAATCAAGGTTTGGTATATATCATATATTGATAATTAGGTCATACAACCAAAATCCAAAAAGTATCACACCAGTAAAGGAAGTTCGAGAAGAGCACTTCTAAATATCAATCTTCTAAATATTCCAAAAGAATCCAAACCCCTCAAACAGGGGCCAAATAGATAAAAAGCTGTGAGCGGTTCTCCAAACAAAAGTGGGTTCAGGAAGTAGGAAAGAAACAAGCCAATTTGATTGGAAAATCAATAAAATTGTTGAATTCCAGCTTCACTAAGGATCTTGTAAAAGACTTCACATTAACAGCTTAACAATTAAGTACATTACAATGTAAAAATACCTTCGATATCCCATTCCGCAAGCATGGAAAGTATATATGCCGGACCATCCATTTATGAACGGGCTGCAATTAACAAGGTTTTCTATCAATGCATAGTGAAACCAAGCAACTGCAGAAAAAACAGAGAACTCATAAACGGTAGCAAAACCCAAGTTTGATCTATTTCCTACATGGAACCTTGAACAGCTTGACCGTCACATAACCTGTACATATGAACTATAAGCAATTTTCTCAACTCCTTTTCTCCTCAGCAAACACGTACACTGCCATTCTAAGAACTAGTTGCAGCAATTGACACATAAAATTACAACTTCTACTATCTCCTACTGCTTAATTTTTCCTCATCATTGAATTCTTTTCTCCATTCTAAAGTACCTTATACTCTAACCAATTTACATACAAACATTCATATCGTGGCTTGTTTTATTGTCACAACTCTCAAGGTAGTCATTGGGTCCATGTAGGGATCTAAATTAAAATAATCAATAGTATCAAATTTCAACAGTGAATCTGTTTTAACACATCAAGTGTAAAGCTTCTAGAGATGAATTTAGTTCCTTAACAAATTCTTTAGAACAAATTCAAATGAATCAATCTCCGAATAGCTTAACTTACCATATTCCACATTCTCCAATACTGATGACAGCAACAGCAGTTATCCCATCAAAATACAATACGAAGGAGACAGAAAGTTTGTCAGCCACAAACCGCATTCTAATAACAAAAATTAGCAAACTCACAATATCAGTTGATAATACTCTACCTCCTCAACTGTTCTTGCATTCCACCAGTCCTTATAGAATTCACGATCGCCAAAGCATAGAAGTTCAGCAAGTATATTTAGCCTATATCACAGAACTGCATGTAAGTATAATCAGCGAGACAATCAAAAGGACGAAAAAATTTAAGTTGAAAACCTAGTTGCCTTTTCATAAAGATGCTCCAAAATTGAAGGTTTTTTTTTGGTCAATTATGCTGGCATTATGCAAGAAAAACCTATATTAAGAAGGCAAGAATAAGCTCTGCCCTAAGGCAATCAGGATTGTTTTTTTAATCCATAGGCAATCAGGAATGTGAGTTTCAGGCTTCTGCATTAGTTCTTTTGATATTGTTGGACAAAACCAAAAAAATGTGTGCATGAAACTCAATCTGAGATGAAAATCAATTTATTCACCCAGTTATCCTTGGAAAACTTCTATAATTCATATAAATTACCTGGTGGTGCAGATTCAGCTAAATGTGCAGATAAATTGAATTTTAAATATCATTTGTAATTGTATTTTTCCATATTTACAATCGAATGTATTTGGCATTTTGCATGCTGCAGTAAAAATCTAAATCCAATATATGTCAGAACTCTTTCCTAGACCACCAAACTACCTAGCAACTATCCAGATATGCATTTATTGCATACCAACAAGCGACGGATGCCTAAATGAACATATTTCAGAGGGGAGGACAGACAGAGCTATATAGATGCAATAATGCTTCTGGACGTGAACACAAAGCAAAAATAACGAGACATGCCAATAATATTCCATAAACTTGAGAAGAAGAGAAAATACCAGAGGTGGAAAAAACAATAAAACATGCAGAGCCACACATATAGATTTGGAACTGAAAGCTTCAAGACCCTCTCAATTGCATATAGAAAGTCTCCTTTCAATGGATGTTGCGAATTTTGCACGATTGGGTTAATATACTGCATAATAGAGCAAACTATAAAAGCCTAGTTCACATTAGAGCAAGGAAAACCATTACAATGAGGAAGAAATGACACATCACCTGCTCTACAATAAATCCCATGAACCCTGAAAATATTACTAGTTTAATGAGTTGTCGAAAAACCCAGCCCTTTCGAATGCACGCTGTACGTGGATAGCTTGGCTGCAAACAACCAAATTTACTTTGTCAAGATATAAAGACTTCGAATCAAATTCTTAAAGAATACGGTGCAATACTAGCACCATTTTACATAATGAAGAACTTTGACAACAGGTTAATGAAGTGCAACTGCGTCAGAGTACAAGCACTTGGCAATTAAACAGTACACTCTACAGTTCCAAATGGCATCTTCACCATCATGTTCATTAGTATGCAATATTATAACATGCACGCTAAAAAAATATGAGCATTTCCAAGGGACAAAAATCATAAACGTACTGTACTTAGTTTATTTGCCTTGGCAGTTTTACCTGATCAAAGAGAATATGTTTCCCAAATAACCTCCATACATGAACTCATTTAGACAATACACACCACAAGCATATTAGATAAAGATACATGAGAAATGTTCGCAGAAATGTATGAACCTAGCAGGCCTATGATTCAATGAGATTGAAATATCCATCAGAGTATACTTTTTACTTCATGCATAAATGCTTCTTACAACAATAAACCACACATGCAAATACATAACTCCTCTCTGAATCGCACATTTCATCAGATATGCTCTTTATGCAGCATCACCACACGTTTATGTTCAAGAATATAAATAAGTATGTCAGAATTATGAATATTTCCCATGGAAGCTTTAGATCAGCCATACTTATACAAGAAACTGTATGTGATGTCTGTACTGCTAAATTATAGGGGCCTGTGTACCTGGTAACATAACGTCGGCGCAACCATGAAGTATGCGAGACTCTGAAAGCTAACATCATAAGAGTACTCCATGTTCCAGTAACTGCATAAAGCTTCCCACTGACATCATATAAGAAGCTTGTTAATTTGAAATATTATGAACTTCTTACATTATCAACAAAATTACAAATAAAAATATTTAATCACATGCATCTGTGCTCATGAGTCACTGTGTCGTTGCTGCTTCTACATTTATTTCTTTTCTTTTTCTTTTTCTTTTTTCTCTTTTGTAGGGTTGGGGCTGCTTAAATTGCCAAAGGAATAGGCTCAGTGGTGAAAGGCTTTCCTCTCCTTCCAGTCACTAGGGAACAAGCTTTCAATCGCATTAAACTATAAAGCTAATTATCCAACTAGTACTCGCCACGTCAACTTAAAATAATATTAAATAAATACCAGCAATTGAAAACATATTCTTTCGCATTACCTTATCAAGTGATTTTGAGAGTACCCTCAAATCATAATTTGTATGCGCGTAGGAAACCAACTTCAACCACACAATGCAAGCAAAGAGCATTAAAGTGACACCCGATAGAACAGCAGAATCACACCTGCGCAATTCCAAAGTCAGAAATATTGCATAAAGTTGTAAATACAGTCCAAAAAGATACACCCAACCAATAGAACTGCTTCAGTTATCTTCTTCAGGTATCTTTCAGAAAACATTATTAAACAATTGTCTTAAAAATCATAATAATTAAAATAACTTCTTCTTAGTAGTCAAGACATACCTAAGAATGACAACAACTGGATACAGGATTGATGTTGTTGTTATTATAACATGAAGAAAGACTGCAACCTGCAAAATTGAAATGAAATTGTATTTCGTATATGAAATTTCATTCTGGTGGACTTTTAAGCACAACGGTTACAGTCACAAGCTTAATTTGTGTTCATAATGGTAAGGATAATAAATAACAACGAAATAACAAAAATGAAATAACAAAAATGAAATAACAACAGGAGAATGCACACCATTAACTTGAGGAACACTTGGCTGGCAGGATAATTCTAATTCAACAGAAATAGATATATTTTCACAACAGAATAGATAAATAAACAGATATAACAAGAGTACAAAAGTCTGTAAGGACCAAACTATTTAAATCAGCTGATTTTAAACCCAAAATCAAGGCAAACGATATTACCATTCCGATAGACATGCACTAGTCCATAAATATCTATAGTTGATACCAGTATACAACAAGTTCATTGAAGTTGATTCTTAGGTCAGTATTAAGGAAAAACTTTTCAATCAGTAGGCTAACCTTCAACGAGTATATATTAGAGGTAACACAAATATCAATAATCATGGAACTAAATATCCATAAAATTCATGACAACGTAGCCCATACAAGAACTATTTCCCTTTCAGTATCTCTAGTAAAATTTGATGCTACTCTAGTGTAAGTTGCCGAGATGTCTGATTTATATCTTATTAACAAAGGATAGGCCACCTGCAACCTTAATTCGACAAAAGATACATCTGTTTACATTACATATGAGTACAGTTTCAAAACATCCACTTAACATGATCATAGTTGAATCTCCACATTGGTTTTCAAGGGGATTACTACTAAGAGAGTAGGCAGACCACAATCATTCAATCGTGCCTGTGTGAGAGTTGGAAAAAAAAAGGAAGTTTGACTGTTACTCACCCATTCAGGTATACTCTTTTGTTTCACCAACTTCTCGACAAGAAACGCAGCAAGGGGGAAGATTGGGAGACTTAGACTGAAAAAAATAATGTTGAGATTTGTGATTAGATAATTTTTGTTGACATTATTGTGGTCATACCATACTAAGATGACAAATGTCCAGGATGTAATTACCAACACATGAACAGTGGCCAATCCCTAAGTGATTTAGGACCAAACCAAAAGCCTACTTTAATCAGCCAGCCGTACTGCAAGTCAAAGACAATATTAGATACCATGTAGCAGTATACTAAACACATTTTATTCAAAAAGTGACGATAAACATGCATCAAAGATAACTCATGATTTTTGTAACTAGCTAATTTGAGATACTAACAGCACTCTACTGTAGTTATATCAGTTATATCGCTATTTATACAGATACAAAAGATTCATGCAGGCATAACAGACGCACCTTCATCAAATTTTCAATGATTAGTCTGCTATTTACAGCAACAAGCACTACTATACAGAGGTTGAAGAGACCTGCATGACTCTGCAACAAGAAAACAATAAGTTATGAACATCAGATACTTGTCAGGCAAACTAACACCCCCAAAAGTATTTGCTAGTTGATGGTGCACCAGAAATTTGTTGGATCCTCCCAAACAAAGCGCAACATCTCCAAATTACAACAGTTAAAAGCAAGTACAACCCGTACGTTTACTTTGCTCCCTGAGTGTCTTACGTCCAACTATAAAAATCTCACACTGCCCATTAATCCCCAGAGGAATAAAAGTGGTAAAAAAAATATATATATAAGCACAAATAACCGCAATCTAAATCACTATTGTTTCAATCTTTCAATAAGTTGCCAACTTTGAGTATTTTTTAAAACCTAATCTCCCAGAGGTCACTTCAGGAATACTGCAACTTGTCTCTTCTTGTACAAATATCCATTACAAGACCAACCACAGAAACAGTTGCTCTAGATGTCTTCACCGTGCCAACTCTGGATTTTTTTGGATTTGCTATTTCCGGAAAGTATCCTCAACATTCTTCAGTAGGACCATAAAACAAATGCAGCATGTCGATGTTATCTTGCCTCATTCAAATTCTTACCAACTGATGGCATCAATGGTGCAACTCGAGCTAGTTAATTCTAAGATCGAAACAGGAGAAAAGTACGAATGCTAATAAATAAATAACAGACTAAGTAAAACAAGATGCTTCTAGGAATTCATCACCAGATTCCCGGTGAGAGTAAAAAGCTTCATTTAATATTCACAAATTCTGGAGATGTATACACGTAAATAAACGTTGATGAAACCTAAAAAGAACTGCGAATGCGAACCTACCTGCTTAAAGATAGCGTCGGAACTGAGAGGGCTCTCCTTGTTTTTGCGGTGAGCTGGCGCCGACGGCCTGTACGCGAATTTTATCGACGAGGCATCACCTCCTTTGCCGCCGTCACCACTTTCTCCGTTCTCCTTCACTTTGTCCTCTTTCTCCTTGCCGAAGCTCAATCCTTCACTTGCGGATTCCGACTCCTGCTCTTCATTAGCAGATTCCACCGCTCCTCCGCCTAGATTCCCGATCAAATTGGCCTCATTCTGATCATTCTCAGCGTCGTTTATGGCGCTCTCGGTCTCGATAGAGTTGGAATCGGAGTCCAGCAGAGGCTCCACTGACCTCGCGCTTGGTCGGCGGCGAATAGTAGCGGCGCGCTCGTGGCCGTGGCCGTGGCCGTTATCGGTACTGGACGACGTTGTGTCAAGGCTCTGCGGCGAGTCCAGGATCGCCATCAAACCAGCACACAGAGAGAGAATTGAAGAACGAATTCCAGAAGAAGAGCGAACGCAGAATCGTAGTTCTAGAGAGAGATGGAGATACAGATTCACACAAATGATAGCACGGATTCAAATTATTCAATTCAACAATACATACACATATACATACACATTTGTTCTAGTCTAGATAAAAAGGGGAAATAAAATAATAATAATAATTGAATAGTTAAAGGTTTAGGCGGTTTGCTTAGTCGATTTGGTATGTGCTTAATCCAACTTTGGAAGATTCTGATTTTGGCATATCATCAATCATTAAATAATTTCCAATTACAAGTACATTATTTTTTTAATTTTTTTTTTTAGTTTATTCTATGGTCTACTTTTTTTATGATCATATTAATTAATGTCAATATATTTGCATTGAGTCATAAGTGGTGGTCCACACAAATTGAGTATCTCCCAAAATATTATTTTTGTACAATTTTTTTAGGGTAAATTCCACTTTACCCCATTGTACTCTGCCCAAGAACCACTTTACCCCCTCGTACTCTTAATTTTGTCGATTTACCCCCTTGTAACAATTTTCCAATACAACCATCTTCGTCAACTTTTTTCGATTTTGACTATGACGCCATTTGGTCAAGAGTCAAAATATTGACGTAAATATTGAATTTTTTCGATTTTGACTCTCGAGATTAGAAAAGAGAAAGTTTCACACATTCATATATTTTTTTCTTTGCACTGGGTGGAATCGATCAATTTTTGGGTCTTGATTTTTACTAAGTTAGGGGTTCAATTTGGGGATATCATGGAAGGGGAAGTGGTGGGAGAAGAAGAAATGACAATATTGACGGAGGAGAAACGACGCGTTATAGGCAGTGGCAATTTTGTAATTTACAGAGTTGACAAAATGGCGTTAGAGTCAAAATTGACAAAATTTGAAGGAAATGGCTTTATTGGGAAATTGTACAAGTACAAGGGGGTAAACCGATAAAATTGAGAGTACGAGGGGTAAAGTGACTCTCAGGTAGAGTACGAGGGGGTAAAGTGGAATTTACCCATTTTTTTATTAAATAGTTTTGTAGGGGATGATCTAGCAGTTGGACCACGAGAGTTTGTATCAATAGAAGCGAGCGTAATTAACGTCTTTCGTATCGTTTGCAAAACAATAATACAATAATTTTGATTTATCAAGTGCATTTATATGATCGTCTGTTGGTTCATTCGTTATAAAAACAATGTAGATCCTAAAAGAATTAAAAATAATTCGAATAAAAAAAAAAAAGTTCCTAATAAATCCTAAAAGAAAACCGACAAATAGTAGTTGTCTAAATATGACCAACTTAAACATCAACTTTTGTCATGAAAATGACCACTTTAAATTGAAAACATCAATTGGAAAAAAATCCTAACTTTGGAATATATATTTTTCCAATTTATTAAAATTTCATCTATTTATTTATTTATTTGAAATTTTTATATTGAAATGGAAATTATATATGAGATTTTCGATTTTCAATCTAATTTTAATCTATGAAAATAATTACAACGATTACATGTTTACAAACAAATATATTTTAATCTTCATGTTATTACATTCTGACTTCTGTATCTATATTATACCGTTACATGTTGGTAAGATATATGATTTCTTTTAATAATTTTGCCAATTCAAATAAGAAAATCCGATTTAGAACATTTTTGTCTCCCTAGTCACACTTGGAATAAAAAGAAAATGAATCTAACTTTTAATTATTCATTTCTTATAATAATTTGAGTAATTTGATATTTTTACTATAGAATATAAATAAATAAAAATAATACTACAAGAAATACGTTAGAGAAAATTAAAGAGAGGTCAAAGTCAAAGATTGGTATATAATTGGTTGAATGTGCTGCCCAAAGCCTTGAAAAAGCTCGATTCATTTTCCCAGTCTGCACTCTGCATGTATATCAGGATTCAGGCGGCGGTGGCCTGGCCGGAGACTAGTGGTGGAAGT